CCAGGAGAAGCTGTGAATGCCCCATCCCTGGAAGTGTTCAAGGCCAGGTTGGATGAGGCTCTGAGCAACCTGGTCTAGTGGAAGGTGTCCCTGCCCATGGCAGGGGATTGGAACTGGATGATCTTTAAGGCCCTTTTAACCCAAGCCATTCCATGATTCTATGATTCTAAAAGTGCCCCTTTTCACAGCAGAAGCAATAACTAAAATGTTTTTAGCTAGAGGGAATTAGGAGCATGGGAAAGAAACATCAGTCAGGAAGGATTCAGATAAAGCTGAAACAGCTCTGGACAGCCAGGCTCCCTGGAAAACTTGACATGTCTTCTGTCCTTTGTCAAGTTACAACTAACCACACAGGCCATGGTCAGGGATAACATTGCCACATCCTTGTCACAGGCTCCTGAAACCATCAGAAAAGCAACTAAGTGATCAGAAATCACTTGGATAAGGGGCTGCAGTTGCTCAGTCTCCTCACACAGAGCACCCAACAGCCCAGCTGGTAACTCAGTCAGCAATAGGGGAGCCTGAGACTCCGTGTTCCACATCCCACACCAAGACAAGACCAGAAGAAGCAAGCATGCTTGGCTCCCAGTTTCACCACCTTGTAATAATGTTCCAGCAGGATCCTGACAACCCCTTCCACGCTCTCCACTTCCACGGGCTTCCTGGCAAACTGGAGCAGGTACTGCAGGGCATCTGCAGGCGAGGTGGCTTTGCACAGGTCAACATGGAGAGCTGCCGATTTGCTGGGCTTGGTCAGACGCAGCTTCTTGGTGGATAGGTCCTCGTGCTGCTGCTGTGCACACAGGGACATGGCTCAGAAACAGCAAATCCTGACCCACTCCTGCCCAGACTGAACACGGGGAAGCCTGAGGAAGCTCCTATGTCCCATGGCAGTCACTGGTCTCTCCCTCATCTGTCTCAGGAAGGAACCTCAGACCTCTGCTCAGACCCCTGCGGCTGCTCCTGTCCTGTCCGGGTACCCCCATCCCCTGGACACATGGCCTCTCCCCACCCCAGCCTGGGACAAACCCTTCTGCTTCCAACACCAGACAACCAACCCAAGGCAAACACAATTTATCCTCTGCCCACCGGCCTGGAGCAGCCCAGGAACTCGCTGTAGTTCCTTCCTTCCCCAGGCCCAGGCTGGGGGGAGCCGCGTCTCTCCCGCAGCAGTCGCGCCCCTCCCCAGTTCGCTTCTAAAGGGAGCACCGTCCCCCTCCCGCAGCCCCCTCCCCTCCAGGCAGCTCTAGCCTCCCTAAACTCGGAGCCGCCTCGCCCCGCTCCTCCCCAGCCCCACTCGGGACACCCCCCTACGAGGCACAGCGGGCGGGCGGCGCTCCCAGGCCTGGTCCCGGGCTGAGCCGGAGGGTTCCCCCGCAGCTCCGCATCACCCGCCGGCACCTCCCGCCGCACGGCAGAGCTCGGGGCCGGCCCGGCCCGTCCAGACCCACCTGGACCACCTTGGTGAACTCCTCGTACACCCGCTTCTTCAGGTGCGCCGCCATGGCGCCGGACAGCGACCCGGAAGAGGAACCACAGAGCGGGCCGCGAGGCGCGCCCTCTCTTTCCGGCCGGAGGCTGCGCTCTATGGTCAAGCAGCCTCCTGTTGCCTTGGGAACGCGGGGCGGACATGGCGCCCGCGGTCCGGCCAGCGCAGTCAGCGCCGCTGCCCGGGGCGTCGGCCCCGCGCAGCTTTCCTCCAGAATACCCACTGTTTTCGCTAGTACTGGATTTTAGACCATATAAGGACCATATAACAATATAAATAAAAGTATAAAATATATATATGTCAGTGACGTGACTTGATGTTGCATTAGACACACATGGAAGTGTGTGTGCCTTCAAACATGTCTCCTTGGAGGAGAGGGGAAGGAGGCCCTGGCACTGAGGAGCCGCCCGACAGACATGTGTCTAGTTAGATGACAGGAGACACTGGCAGCAGCTGTGTCTGTGACACCCGTGTCACCAGAGGTAGCCAGAGATGGCCACAGTTCGGTCACGTCCTTGGGACAAGAGGATTTGGGAAAGGGCTGAATCAATTAGGTTTGAAAAGACCTATGACTGAACACCACCTTGTCAACTAGACCATGACACTAAGTGCCATGTCCAATCTTTCCTTAAACACCGCCGGGGTCAGTGACTCCACTACCTCCCTGGGCAGTCCTTTCCAATGGTTAATCACCCTTTCTGTGAGGAAATTCCTCCAATATCCAACCTAAACCTATCCTGGTGCAGCTTAAAACTGTCTCCTTTCATCCTCTTGTTTGATGGGTCCAAAGGAGGGCCAGGGAGGCAATCACAGGTCTGGAGAAACTGCCTTAGAGGGAAGATTGAAGGAGCTGTGCCTCTTCTCCCCAGGGGGACCTCAGCGTAGTGTTCCCTGTACTTAAAGGGCACCCACAAAGATGTATGGCATCTCTCTCTTCACGAGGAGCAGTGTAGATGAGACAAGGGGCCACAGGGGCAAGTTGCACCAAGAGAATTTTCTTCTCGATATAAGAAATATTTTTTATACAGTGAAAACCATCATTCAGTGGAAGAACCTCCCCAGGGACATGGTGGAGTCCATATCACTGGGAGTTTTTGCTATATGACAGGACAGGGTGCTCAACAATCTCATTCAGGCTCCCTTTCCCAGCAGAGGCTCTACCAGATGATCCTTTGATGTCTCTTCAAGCCTATGCTGTTTTATTAGACCATCCTTGATGAAGCTATTAGAATCATAGAATCATTAAGGTTGGAAAAGACCTCTAAAGTAATCAAGTCCAACCATTAATGCAGCACTGTCAAGCCTACCAGTAAACCATTTCCCCAAGTGCCACATCCGCACATATTCTGAACACTTCCAGGGATGGTGACTCCCATTTCCCTGGGCAGCCTGTTCCAATGCCTAACCACCCTTTCAGTGAATACATTTTTCCTGATTCTTCCTGGCACAACTTGAGGTAATTTCCTCTTTTGCTGTCACTTGTCACTTGGGAGAACAGATCAACCCCCACCTGGCCACAACCTCCTTTCAGGGACTTGTAGAGAAGGAGAAAGTCCCCCCTGAGCCTCCTTGTCTCCAGACTAAGCATCTCCAGCTCCCTCATCCAGACCTCACCAGATTTGTGCTCCAGCCCTTCCTCAGCTCCGTTGCCCTTTTCTGAGCCCAATCCAGCACCTCAATGTCTGTCTTATCAAGAAAGACCCAAAACTGAACATAGGGTTTGAGTATGTGCAAATTAAAGTTTCTCATGGCAGCAGTCCTGTAGACTTAGGATGTTGGTTGGTTTGATACTTTAGCTACCCTATAATCAGAAGGTTTCCTCCAAATATATAATTTTCATCTCCTGTGTTGTGACTTCAGCCAGTTTTCTGACCTTTGGTATGTACAAGTGTAACAGATCTCTTTAAAGATCTGGGAGGCCCCCTCAATCTCTCTTCTTCTAACCACTTGGTTAGGATCAAAAGATCCAATTTTCTAATGTTTTTTGTCATCTCAGACACTGACTGTGTCTGTTCTTACCAAGGTTAGGAATGTGAGAGGTCTCAGAGAGCCTCCTCACACATACAGCAGAACTGCCGTGCAGTCAGTGGCATGACTCACTGTCAAGGAATCTGTGCTAGGATGGGCACATCCGAAACTCAGCTTAATTAGGAATGATTCAAATCCATTGCCATAAAGAAAAAATTTCAGGACTTTAGAACCTGTTAGTAAATAAAATAAATAAAAGCAAATAAAGAACTTCTGCATCACTCAAAAAGCTTTTAAAAGTTATTTATTTGACATCTCAGGGACCATCCTATGATTCTATGATTATTGTCCTTAACTGGAAGAAATCCATCTTCTAAGAAGTAAAGGAAATACAGTCAGCATCAAATTAGCCATTATGATTTTCAGAGTGATTAAAACCAAGACATATCCAGTATAAAAATAAACTTTCAAATACTAAGATTTTTAAAACACAATTTAGGACCCAGCTTGTGTTCTGTAAAAAAAGAGAATTTTCAGGCTACTGCTTCAGTAACACTTCCTTCCCATTGAATCAGGGTGGATTTTCCCAATTCTTCCAGAAGCATATATATTTAGAAATAGTATAATAATAATAATAATAATGAATGTCATAGGAAAAAATTAAAATTGGGTGGCCTGAGAGATGAGTGCATGTCCTTAGATTATAGACTCCTCACATAAGTGATGGTATTTTTGCCTTTTGTTGATCCTGGAACTGAGGTTCTCTATCTTTCCTTCAGAATAAATAATAAATAATGGTAATAAATACATCAACTAGAGAGCAGGCTGTCTACTGAAGGAATAAGAAGAGATCATAGACACTGAATCCTTCTTTTTAACCCAAGTTCTGGTGTGGAAAGCAGGGAGAAGAAGAGCTTTTGCCTTCTCATTAAGAAGCCAAATTTAATTTGAGCATGTGTTGATGTCACTATTTCCATTAGGATTTTCACATGTGTGACCTGTTCTCATTTGCACCAAGAGACCAACTCTACATATCCATGAGACACATTTGGGATTATTCATTTCTCTCAGGTTGAGTGAGGTTGGTTCGATTCACAGATACATCTCTCTGAATCTAACGAATAGTCAGCAACACTGAAAGAGTAAAATTCTTCCTTTTCCTGGTACTTTTTAAATCCCCTAGAAAGCTATCCCCTAAAGCCCAAGAAAATAGTAACTCTTAAGTGCTTAATTTAATTTGGCAAACAGCCAAAGGAGATCCTTTCATTGACCCATGCATTTCTTCCTGTCTCTCTGGTAGTCTATGGCTTAGTCTCTATGGCCCAGGCCAATTTGTTTTAATAATTGCTTCCTTCCATTCCCCACCAATGATGGCATTTTGCTACCACCAGGTGAACAGGAACTTGTAGAAGAAGTCATGTGATTTGAAGCGAAAACCTTTTTCAGCAATGTGGGGCTGAAAGGATACTTTATACCCTTTGGCTTCAACATCCATTTGAATGCAGTCCAGCAGATCAGAAATACTTGGCGCAGCCTTCCAGGGGCCAAATTTCACCACAGATTTTTTATCCATGTCCAAACTGTTCAGGGCATCCTGACACCTGGACGCGTCCTCCTCAGTTCTGACCACACATACGATGACGCTGGACCGGCGGGATGCAACCGCTTCCGCCCTCGCGATGCGGATCATCAGCTCAATGTTCTCACTGTAGTTGGGCACACGAGCCAGAAACTGCTTCCTTGCCACAAGCTCCCCAAAGATCTGTGGGGAGTCCTCTAGCTGCTTGATTAGAGGTTCTATGTCATAGAACAATGCCTCCTTGTAGACATCCTGGATGCATTGGGTGGGCACTTGGTTACTGCGCAGGTACTCCAGGATGTATTTGAAGTAGGTGCCTGGCCTGTCAATGAAGAACCTCCCTTCAGAGTCAGTCCTGAGTTTGGGCTGGCCGGTGAACATCTCTGCCAGCTTGGATCCAGGGTGTTTCTTTAAGGTGCTCAGCGTTGTCGTGTACATCTCCCCACCAACATTTAACTCCACGATTGGTGACAACTGCAAGTATCACAAGGGGACAAAAAGCATGTGCATTACTAGTCTGAGGCCATCAGCATGGGAGTTGGAATGATTGTGTGAAAAGTGGTATGAGCTCCCATCTCTTGGGGATCAGATGGGAGTATCCACCACATGTATTATTAAAAGCAGATGCAGGATGCTTATACAGCCCTTGCAACCAGAGCAGCAGAAACTTGAACGTTTCTAAATGGCTAAGTCTTTGCCACGTCTTGGGATGTAGGAAAGTGTTGTTTTCCCAAGGGGGAAGAGGGAAAAGAAGTACCCTGCCCAGGAAAGCTGCGAGTGACTACAGGATTCAACACTAATCTCCTAAGTCCCACACAAGCATTGTCCCTGTGGGCCATTGTCCTTACAGCAAGAGCAATATGTGAGCCCTCATCCTCCCCATGTGCAGAGGGACAGGGATGGAACCCAAAGTTGTGCCACTTCATTCTTACCACCTAAGCTGTTCTTTTCTCTTCGAAGGAGGAACTAAAGCTACAAAGACTAAAAACTAAAGTTACAAACACTGAAAAAAATCCAGCACGTCAGAGGTGCTAGAAAGAAGCTGTTTAGCAAAGCACCTAAAAAATGTATGATAGCTTTAGCTAGAGGAAGTAAAGGAAATAATTCATGAAACTGACATGGATTTAAGAGGGAAGAATGTAAAGTTTGTGGATTTGTTTGGATTTTTTTTCTCCCTGTGCATTAACACCATTTTCTGAATTGGAGGAGGTCTGAAGGCCTGGAAAGCTGGGCTTAGTGTCTAGTCTGACCTTCCTGACAGTTCAGTGGTGAAGAATTTTAATAGCCTCCCTTTGCACTTGGTCATTTTACGTAATTCTCAGCAGATGAAAAGAAGAGGGAAGAAAGAAGGCAGCTCTTTCCCCCCCCACCGTCACTGCTGTAATGCAAGTCACAAGCCTGGCCAGGGCCACACCTGCCATTGGGAAGGCGTGAGTCAATAAACAACCCTATTTTCCAGGAGCTCACCTGCGC